CCCCCCCCCCCCCCCAACAAAAAGGCAAAAAACAATTCTCCACCAATACCATGCAGTCTCATGGTCTTCTGCTTCGACGCTTTTTCAGCGGCATTCTCGCAAAGCACAAAGCTGTTCTCCTTGCCTTCGCGATGTGCAAAAGTGTGGTTATGTGGCTTCGTCGCTCTCCGGCTTCCTCGCGCTCCCACCTCTCTGCAAATTGCAAACATATGTTGGTGAACCCTGAACCTCAAAAAGAGACATGGCTTGGGAAATCTCGAACTTGAGATGTACATGTTGACTGGGGAAACTTCGACCTTAAACGGCCTTCCACACGACAAGGGGGTGTCCGGGGAAAACCTCAAAGGAGAATCGGAATTCCTGCCGGTGCTTTGCAGTTATCTCTTCTTCGATTACGACGCCCTGGAGATCACAGAGTGTCAGCCTGAGATTTTACTGACGACCACGTGGCGGTAAACCGGAATTCCTGCCGCCGCCGTGCAGTTCTTTCTATTTCGACTGGGACGCCCTGGAAATGCGGAGCGCCTTAGATTTCACTGACGGCCATGCAGCGATTCAAAAGTTCAACGCTGCAAAAGCGACAGTCATGCATGTTGTTGTCACCTGCTGATGTGCTAGGTTTGCTTGCCAATGCAACTGTCCGAGTCGTCTTGGCAAGGCTGGCGCACTTCGAGCCCTGAGCCCACAGATCAATGAACCCTAGACCACAACAGCCCGAAGACCTGAGCCCTGCATCCTAAATCCAATCTAGGTCTTCGAGGGGCTTGCGAAGGTCGAAAACCTTGCTAAGCCCCAAGCTGCGGCTCGAAGCACACCCATCAAGCTCAGAAGCCGAAAGCCCCGAATACTCCCTGAATCCCAGGATTCAACCTCAGGTTTTTCCTCGGCATTTTTCCATTCCGTGGACTGCTTGCGGGAGCTGCAGGTTGAGCGCGCGCCCGGTCTGCGAGCGGCAGAAGCCTTAACCTTCAGGGCTTTCTTCACTTGACATCCTAACGTCATAGGCAAGGGATTGGCCAGAGTGTTTGCATAGACTAGAGGCCTGGGAAACAGGAGGTGGGAACTAGTAGCCGCATTCGTGCAGTGAAATGACAGGGGCGCCCCCGCACAGATGCAAGCGAAAGGACAGGGTCGGATAGGGCCAGTTTGAACATAATAAAAGTAGCAGTATGAGTAGGAATGGCAATAGCCGTAGCAGCAGCAGCAGCGACAACAGCGGCAACAGCAAAAGCAGCAGGAGTATGCACACCGAGCATTGCCGTCCACCAGCAACGGCAGTAGCAACAACAACGACAACGACGACGACGACACCAACAACGCTATCAACAACATTGAGAAACAACATTAACAAAACCACCACCAACAACAACAATAACAACACCGACACCAACACCAAAACACCGGCAACAACACCAACAACCGCAACTACAGCAACAGCAACAACGGAAACGGCAACAGCAGCAACGGCAACAACAGCAACAGCAACACCAGCAGCAACAGAAACACCAGCAGCAGCAGCAGCAGAAGCAGCAGAAGCAGCGGCAACAGCAACGGAATCAGCAGCAACAACAACAACAATAACTGCAACAACAACAACAACAGCAGCAGCGATAGCAGCAACAACAACAACAACAACAACGACGACAACAACACCATTAACAGCAGCAGCAACAACAACACCACCGCCGCGGCCACCACCACCACCACCAACAACAACAACAACGACAACAACAACAACAACAGTTTTTTTATTTCGAACATCCCCACCCTACTGATAATGCATATGCCAGACCTATACAAACTACCATATAGGCCAAGGGTTGGGCACTCCAGGGAGTCTCACGGTAGTCTGTGGGGTTGGGCACTCCAGGGAGTCTCACGGGAGTCTCACGGTAGTCTGAGGGGTTGGGCACTCAGGGAGTCTCGCGGGAGTCTCACGGTAGTCTGTGGGGTTGGGCACTCCCTGGAGTCTCACGGTAGTCTGTGGGGTTGGGCACTGCAGGGAGTCTCACGGGAGTCTGTGGGGTTGGGCACTCCAAGGAGTCTCACGGGAGTCTCACGGTAGTCTGTGGGGTTGGGCACTCCAGGAAGTAGTCTCAGCGGCGAGGAGTAATAGCTGACTTTAAAATCTAACAACCCCACACCGAGGGTGGGGAACACCAACACCAACACCAACACCAACACCAACACCAACACCAACACCAACACCAACACCAACACCAACACCAACACCAACACCAACACCAACACCAACACCAAAACCAAAACTAAAACCAACACCAACAACAACAACAACA